TCTCTCTCTCTCTCTCTCTCTCTCTCTCTCTCTCTGTGTGTGTGTCCAGTACTAACCTGTGAAGTTGGCGCCTTGATGCAGGTACCTCGAAGATGGAGCTGGAGCTCTGGCGCCACAGGTAAGTACCGCTGGCCTCCGCCAGCCGTCTCTCTCCAATGCTACCACTACCAACTACTAGCGCCTGCGCTGAAGACTACTCCTGCAGCTATGAGCGCCCAGCGCTGAAGACCACTGCTAGCGCTAACTACTACTGCCAGCGCTCCTCCTGAGTGCTGCGGCTGAATCCTGAAGACTACTCGTGCCTACTGTCCAACTACCTACCCGTGAAGTGCATGGGAACTTCCTATGCACTACTCGGGTACCTCCTGGCTGCAGGCGAGGCAGTCCAGGATGCCGAAGGCAGTCAGGGGCTGCCGCTGCAGCTCCTGCTCGAGGCTGTCGTGGGGAACAGGCCAGAAATAGCCTGTTCCCAAAACCCTGTTTTTGTGCCTGAGTCTTAGGGTAGGTCGATCTTATGAGGGCCCGAAAGTGGCCCTCCGTTTCAGGCTGAAATGCCTCAGGGCTGAAAAGCCCTGATATAGGCTGAAAACGAAATAGGGCCTGCAGGCCCTCGTTTTCAGTTTCAGGCTGAAATGACATGGGGCCTGTAAGCCCTATTTTCTAGGCTTTTAGGCTGAGAATGCGGGACAGGCCCTGCAGGCCCGTGTGGCTACGCAGTATGCCACAGGTGGCCACTCGCCATAGTTTTTTTTTTTTTTTTTTCTTTTCTTTTCTGCTTCAGCGGTGAATATTTAGAAATCTGTGAAACCCGTCATACACCTTTCCCACGTAGTCTGTGACATCTGTCTACGCCGTGCCATTCGATGCAGCAACTGTGACTGCGAAAATTGGATGCGGTGCTTCCATAGCCCACACCCGAACCGGTCCTGTCCTGTCTGTATGGGTGGCCACTCGCCATAGTTTTTTTTTTTTTCCTGCTTCAGCGGTGAATATTTAGAAATCTGTGAAACCCGTCATACACCTTTCCCCTGCTCTTTGCATGTCATACTCTATCCTGCCCTCCCGTTGCCCCTACCTCCCCTGCCCCATACTCCTAGAGAACTCCGCCTTCTACCCCTTACCCTCCACCCTCCCCTCCACTCGCCTTGTACTACTAACAAATACATACGAATGAGCATCATTAAGAGTATAGACGATATGAAGATCAGCAACAAAATGAACGGAAGTATGAAGATGAAGGACGGACACAAAGACTGTATAAGCTGAAGATCTGAAGTGAAATGAACAGATGGAAGTATGAAGATGAAGGACGGACACAAAGACTGTATAAGCTGAAGATCTGAAGTGAAATGAACAGGAGTATGAAGCTCTGAAGAGATGCACAGGCGCATACCTTCCCTTTTACTCTGCCGCCTGAAATAACGTGCAAGTGGGCCGTGAAGGCACACAGGGATGTGGGCAGCTGCCGCTCAACCACAATCAACGTGGGCAGCCTTGTGCGTAAGAGGCACAGTAAAAGGGGAGCTGCAAGAACAATGAAAGGGGTACCGCAAGGACAACCAAAAAACTGTCTAGCTTTAATATGTTGGACATCTCAAATGCTCTCGTTGTCTGCAATAGGACAAAGACTGCTTTGATTCTGAATCTATTCACCTGGGTGGAATTGGGGCTGTTGTGGGGATAATCTAAAACACACGCACACGCACACACACACCCACACCCACACCCACACCCAAACACAT